ATCAAGTGATCTCGCATCTCGAGGTGCCATGTGCTCGAAAACTTCCAAATATCCCAAATGCCATACCCCTCCAGTACTCTCATGAGGAATACCCGGACCAAATCGGGGAAGTGACGTGGGAGGTCGTCAAGACCAGAACAAAAGGCTTGGATATGGGAATGACAATCAACGCAGTTTGGAGACTTATACCTCGCTTGGACCGACACCAGGCCTTTTAAGGCCGTTAAATCACGGAGACTGGTGCACAGTTCATAGCATCGTTCCTTGAAAGAGTCAGCCTTTAGGATATTATTTACACCTGAATCTCACCAAACACGTGGATGAAACCAACCAGAATGCACCGAGGTGCTGGAGGTTTCGAAAGGGAAGAGGATCTTGTAGGATGTCATTAAACAAGAGTCTCGCCGTACCCCGGTGTTGAATGCTGATGTGCGTCAGCCCATCTCTTTTATTGAGGAAAGTTTCGCTCCTGAGTACTGTATACGGTCTGAAGCCGATAAAGCTAATCCTTTGGATGGGTCGATGGAGAAGTAGGAGATCATCCAATGGGCCTTCGTAATAATGTAGGCTTCGAATATTCGGGAGTACACTCGGATTTGATAACAAGGTACCAACTTCCTGCTTAGTGAAGTCGCTTCCTAGTAAAGACCACCCTAGGGTAGTCAACGGCGTCATACATGGCGCCTCAAGATAGTTTATCAATGCTCTCTCTTTCATGAGTGAGCAGTTGCAACGAAATTTGACCTCTTGTAGTACATTGGTCTGGAGAGTGGCGAAATATTGGTGTCGCTTGGATAATTCCCCCATACAAAGGTTACAATTTATCTTTAGGATCTCAAGCTTGCGGAGGTCACATAGCACTCTTCCTAGACTTTGGTCTACCTCGTCACAAGAACAAGGTTCCTGTGGACAGTTGTCGAGTTGAAGGCAAAGCGTATTGACGAAGATTCCCAACAGCGGGTGTTGAAGAATGGAACGAATTTCCATCTTCTCGGCCCGTTTACTGTACCCAAAATGTCGTTCATATAATTTCGGCTCAGCGATCGACCGAAGGAGTCTCGACGTGCGACATAGATGATACAAGTCCCTTCTTTCTTCGACTAAATGGATGATTGAGGTCCATAGTTCGACTGGTAACTGTGTAGCTGAGAAATTTGGTGACCAGGTTTGGATGGTTGGTGGTGGCGTGATTGACAACGGCGTCTGGGTTGTTGGCACCTCAGCTGGTAAAGTTGGGTTTTCTACTAAATACTCGTCATCCCATAGAGATCCAGATCAAACAAGATAAATACCTCCTTTCTTGAACAGAGCCATCTGGAAGTTTGTCACGGCTTTCTGCATATCGCGTC